TTTTGTCATTTTTGGTCCTCTTATACGATTTTTCTTAGTTAAACCACCTTGAAATGTTTTAAGCCTTTTCTTTGCATAATAAGTTGCATCAAGTGTTATGTTCTACAAATATCATCATATTTTAGCATATTGTGGAGTTTATGAAGTCTATAACACATAATCACAACATATAACATGAAAAACACACATAATCATGCATATACACATAGATCTACACAAAAGAACTTGTATTCTCCCCCAAAACATAGTAAAAACCGAAAATAGGGGGTATGAACTCACATTGGTTTGATGATTTCGGTTTTGGTGAGGAGGTTGAAGATGTTTTCCGCCTTGATTGCTTCTTAGGAAGAGTTTTCGAGTTCTAGGAGGTTCTAAGAGCATGATCACGAAAACATGTGTTCATGAGGATTGATCTAGTATAAAATGAAATAAATCAACTTGAATTTACATGATCTTACCTAAATATGAAGCTTGGAGTGATCTTCTTGAGACTCACACAAAGTCACGATTTTTAAAGAGGTAAAAATGAGAGACTTCTTGAGAGTTTTAGAGAGAGATTTTAGTGTTTGAAATGTGGATGAAGTGAGGTGGGGATAATGCTTCTTGGCCGAGTATATGAAGGAAGAGAGAAGAGAGGGATTAGTGTGGTATTTGCATGATGGTTAAACCCTAATTTCCTAGATATATGGTGGACAATATGCATGGATTTCCATTAAATAATAATGAGGTGTCACACTCTAGTTAATCTCATATTATCTTTTTTTTCTTACAACTATATATATATATATATATATATATATATATATATATATATATGTGTGTGTGTTTATAACCGAGAACAAGTAAGGAGGAAGAGAAAAGAATTGTTTGGGCCATTTTGAATATATTCGAAATTTATAGGGTCTAATATGGAAATTTTCGGCCCATTGGGCCTATATAAGGGTTTACGGCCCAAAAATGTTAAATGAATTTGTTTACGGCCCAATAAAGCCTAAGAAACCAAGCGAGACATTTTAGGCCCAATATGGCCCAAAATGCTATGGTTTGATAAATGTAGGTCCAATTAGAGCCCAAATGGAGTTCCTTGGCCCAAAATAGCTAAATTGAGAGTTTACTGGCCCATTAGGCCCAATTAGAGGATCCAAATCCATTTTGAGTTTGAATCGGGATATTAGGGTTACGAACCCACAGTTAAGTGTGTGAAATGAATTGAATTAGGTTTTGGACTTCAGGAGTGAGTTTTGGTTCAAATAGTTGTTTTTGGAATAAGCATTAGTACATAACATCAACTTAGATTACAAGTTACACAAGAGTTGAGTATATGAAGACAAAATTTCCTACCCAAAAATGCTAGTTGTGACATCATCCCCTGTTAGAGGGAATTTCGTCCCGAAATTCTTTTGAAAGTCGATCCTAAGAGCTAGAGAAAAGGTGAGGGTACTTTTGCATCATTTGGCCTTCGCGTTCCCATGTGAATTCCGGTTTGCGCTTAGCATTCCATCGAACCTTCACAGTCGGAATGCGGCTTTGTTTTGTACGCTTCACTTCCCTGTCCATTATCTCCACCGGATCTTCGACGAACATGAGATTCTCGTTTATCTCGATCTCATCCAAGGAAATGGTGAGGGTTTTATCTGATATGTCACCGGACCGATCCAGAAAAGAACCTCGAACGGCCCGTTGTATCGTGGGTTTAACTTGCCCCACTTTCCAATTCAGATATTCCTTTTATAGGGAGAGTCCTTCAATAGCACCCGCTCTCCGACTTGAAACTCCAGAGGCTTTTACCATTTATCAACATCGCTCTTTTGTCAGTCTCGTGATGCTTGGGGTCGTGCCTTGATTTGAACTATTTTCTCCGCCGTTTCCCGAATGATCTCGGGGTCTGTAAGAGTGTTGTTTGGTGCTTGTCCTCTTGCTAGTTGGGTGTTGGTCATCTCAGCCCAACACAGAGGTATTCTGCCTTCACGTCCTCTATGGCGAGGTGGATTGATGGTCATGGTTAATGAGGATCGTGTACTGGACGTCCCAAAAGTAGTACCTCTAAACCCTAAGGTGAACACTATTATCGCTAGGGTTAAGGTCACGTGATGTAGTTAGCCTCATACTTTTTAGGCTGCCATTGGAGTTTCTTACTGTGGGATTCTGAACTAGTAGGATGTTGATCTTTGCTTGTTTCTGGGGGCGGGTCGAGCAAGTCTTCGTTTCGGGATGGGGGATATCGATCCTTAAGGGTGGGTTCGTTTGATTCTTAGTAGTCAGTGGTCCTATGGATACTTAGCCTTTCCTCTTTATGAGTTGGATAGACGTTCTCTGGGGTTCAAGTCTTGGTTTGGTAACTCTCATACTTACTGGATCATTCCCTTGACCGGATGGCTTCGATATTTTTGCTGGCACTTAGTGTCCTTGGTGGTCTGGCTATGGAAATGGCTTCATTAGTTGAGTCAATTTCCGAACTCGACTTGCCACGTATAGATAACATTTCCGAAAGGACTTCTGGAATCCACTTCGGAAAGATTATAAATCTCTAGGTTACCCTCGATGTCCTTTGCTTCTCGTTTCTTATCTCTATTGTGGGCTAGGAACGAGCGTGGTACTTCTTACATAGGTACTTAGGAGTCTAGATGCCAGGAATGATTCGAGGATCTGTCCTTATAAGTTGTAAGGATTTCGTTAGTCGATTGGATAAGGCGTAGGGTCTCTACATGAAATTTTTATGGTGAGGATCAAGCCAGCCTCTGTCAAGTGACTCTGTTGGGTTTCTTAGAGTTTGTTGTAATAGATGTTGGATTGACTTGGAAGGGATGGCTGTTCGGAAATGAGAGTGTGTTTCATGTACTCGTTTGTAATGTTCCTGGTTTCATCCTTGTTATCACTACCGCGAACATTCTTGTACCACGTTTAGTGAGTATTAGTAGTATGAGTGTTGCGATTATTAGCAATGAAATTGGATAGCATGGTCCTCACCATGTCTTTCTATAATTGCTTGGCGGGTAAGAAGCATGTATAATTAAGAATGGAAGGCTGTCGACTGAAGGGCTCTGTCCTAAATCCGTAACCACACAAGGAACAGAAAATAGAATGGAATCACGCTTACTAAACCTTTAGAACCTCAATTATATATGACCCTAATATACACTAAGCCATCGTGGCTCACCTGCAAAACCCTTGGTTTTTATACGAATGATATGTCCTGTTCGGACGATAGCGTAATCTATAATTAATGACTAAAGCCTTTGAATATCTTTACTGGGAAAACGTACCGCTGTTCATAGGTGATTCCGGGAGGGTCTCTCCTGTAGTGATTGTCAGCACTCTACCTTCCCTGCCAGAGTTTCTTGTTATTGGACAGTCCCTCCTGAAGTGTCCAGATTCATCACACTCGTAACAGGTCGGGCTCATTCTGAAGTTGGAGGTCTGGGGATTGGTCGTGCTGATGCCCTGCAGGAACGGGTAGGGTGCCCCTTCCTATTGCAATTCTTATAGTATAACTTTCGGTAGGCTCCCTTATGATGGAAACTGCACTTGCTGCATTTTGGAAGATTTCCAGCATATGGTCTTACTGATGTTGATGTGGTAGGTGTCGTGGCAGCATGAATCGCAACAGTCTTTTCCAGGCCCAATAAGCATGTAAATGGACCACTAAGGCCCAATAAACATGTAATGTATATTCCAGGCCCAATAAGCATGTAAATGGACCACAAAGGCCCAGTAAACATGTAATGAACATTCCAGGCCCAACAAGCATGTAAATGGAACACTAAGGCCCAATAAACATGTAATATATATTCTGGGCCCAATTAAGGTGTAAGTGACGTAATTAATCCATTTGTTGTTATGTTGATTGGTTAAGCTTAATTGTTCACCAAAATAACATAAAAGGCCCACTTTTGTAAAAAGTCGTTTTTGGTCCTTAAAATCGAAAATTTACAATTTAAGCACATTTTTCGTAAAAATGACACTTTAGGTCCTTTAAAACCAAAATTTTACATTTAAGGGCTTGATTTGAGTAAAATAACATTTTTAACCCTACTTTTGTCAAAAAGATCATTTTCGGCCCAAAAGCATAGAATTTATTCCTTTTTGGCCCAAGTTTGATAAAATTATCATTTTTAGCTCTTATAACCGAAAAATAACATTTTTGGCTCAACTTTGTTTAAATTGACACTTAAGCCCACAAAAGTCCAAAAATTTACAATTTTAGCCTAAAAACCGTGAAAGTCCAATATAAGGCCCATTTCTGAAAGTTTACACTTTTAGCCCTTCTAAAATCATAAATACCATAAAGATCCATATTTATTCAAATAAATCTTTTCAAAACCGTGAGTTATGTATAATAACTTCACTTTTTGATTATTTTGTCATTTTTTGCCCTTTTATACGATTTTTCTTAGTTAAACCACCATGAAATGTTTTAAGCTTTTTCTTTGCATAATAAGTTGCATCAAGTGTTATGTCCTACAAATATCATCATATTTTAGCATATTGTCGAGTTTATGAAGTCTATAACACATAATCACAACATATAACATGAAAAACACACATAATCATGCATATACACATAGATCTACACAAAAGAACTTGTATTCTCCCCTAAAACATAGTAAAAACCGAAAATAGGGGGTATGAACTCACATTGGTTTGATGATTTCGGTTTTGGTGAGGAGGTTGAAGATGTTTTCGGCCTTGATTGCTTCTTAGGAAGAGTTTTCGAGTTCTAGGAGCTTCTAAGAGCATGATCACGAAAACATGTGTTCATAAGGATTGATCTAGTATAAAATGAAATAAATCAACTTAAATTTCCATGATCTTACCTAAATATGAAGCTTGGAGTGATCTTCTTGAGACTCACACAAAGTCACGATTTTTAAAGAGGTAAAAATGAGAGACTTCTTGAGAGTTTTAGAGAGAGATTTTAGTGTTTGAAATCTGGATGAAGTGAGGTGGGGATAATGCTTCTTGGCCGAGTATATGAAGGAAGAGAGAACAGAGGGATTAGTATGGTATTTGCATGATGGTTAAACCCTAATTTCCTAGATATATGGTGGACAATATGCATGGATTTCTATTGAATAATAATGAGGTGTCACACTCTAATTAATATGATATTATCTCGTTCTTTTTTTACAAATATATATATATATATATATATATATATATATATATATATATATATATAGCTAGGTTCATATGTTTCTAGCAAGTAGTGTGTGCCTAAATGCACCAATGAGAATTCAAGAAATAATAAATCATTAAATAAATCATTAAAGGGTATTTTGGACATTTTGTACTTTTAATTAAGGAAATGATTTAATTTAAATCTTGCAATTAAGGAAATAAAGTAAATATATTTGACCTAGTCATTTGTGTTCTCGTTTATAGGCGTGTTGTTCCTTTCCAACCCTAGCACATCTCTTTCTTTTTTCCGGCCTTCTTTAGCAACCAGCGAAAAGAGAGGGCGAGATCGGGAAACTCGCCGGAGCTACCTGTCGGAGTTCTAGAAGACAACCGGCGAGAAGAAAGGTTGGAAGGTCTAAGGCAGATTACTCGTTTGGTAAGTCTAGTATGTCTCTGTTTCTTATTCTGTCTTCTACCTCTTTCTTCACGCCTCTTCTACTCCATCAAATTTATCAGGTAATTCATTTTTTTTCAACAAGTAATCAATGATTTTGTTAAACTGTTGGTATCTTATTACACCCAATTGGATCAAGAACACGAATCAAATACGGATGGTAGTCAACAAAAGAAGAAAATTAAAAAAGATGATAAAAAGATTGGGGGTTTGGCATCGAGGAAGAGAATTTCATTGATAAAAATGTCGGAAGATTCGATTTGGGTGACTGGAGTTAGTGGTTCGATCTGTGAGAGATTCTGGAATGATGTGCAGTGGGTGATTACACCTCATGAACTCCCTGTACAAGCTGGTTATATGGTTTTTGTGTTCTTGATCAATCACACAGTTCTTGCTCTTTCTGAAGCAGGAATCTTATACCAGGTTCTTCCATGGAATCTTGATTCTTGTCTTGTTGTGTTTTTTAATCATTAAACTGATATTATATTAAAAAAATACATTTTTATTTGCTAATTTGCTAATATGCAGATGCAACTAAGTGAAAATTCACAGCCGATACGGATCGAGTACGCACCAATTCAAGATTCTAGCACAATCATGTTCATCAAATATGGTGTTATATCACATAATACAGAGTGAGTAAGATCAAATAATTTTATTTTCAAACCAATAAATTAATTAGATCAAATTCATATTATAAAATATGAATACAGGAGGATCTATTTCTGCACGAAAAATGGGCTGCTATTGGAGCTTATTGAGGCTGATCCTCCAAGGTTATCTTTTAAAAAAAAATCTGAAAAGGGTATTTATGTCTTTTCATAAGCATGGGTAAAGGGTATTTATGTCTTTTCATAATGGGTAGATGGATAAACCATGGGAAGCCTCCTGGTGCAGATGTTGTAGCCATAGTAAATGCTCCTGGAATTAGGGCACAAGTCGTATTCACCATAAGGTTACATTTTTTTCTCTATTTTTTTTAATGTGATTTGAAGTTGGAATATAATTTATTTACTTTTTTTCTTAATTAAATGTAGTTTGTCGGGGGATTTGTACGAATTTGATAGGAATTCGAAGCCATTATGGAAGAAACACATATGGAGTAAAGAATCGGGTCATGACACTGCTTTGACACCATCGAGTGGCGAACAATAGTATATTCTAGCATAATGTATTTTATGTATAAACATTCTAAAGCATAGAATGTATAAATGCATTCTGTCAGAATATTTTTAAGAATATTTGTTAACAACATATATATTTTCTTAACTGGTAATACTAATGAGTAATGCATCTTATTCTTTCAGCATGGCATGGAGAAGGAATTCAATATTGATCATACTAGATGAAGATTTGGAATCGAGTTCAACAACATTATATTAGCGGTAAATACGATACTTTTGAATGTATTCTATGTATCCTGTCAGAATGTATTTTGCCAAAATAAAATCTATTTATTCTGCCAGAATGTATTCTATGTATTATGTCATATTCTATGTATTCTACCAGAATATATAAAGTGATAGTTAATTGCAAGTAACATGTTTTTTAACCATTATTAGTTTTTGTTGTATTTATGATAGGATGGCTGGAGTAATGCGTTGAAGACCTAATAGGAATAACTTGAAGAAAGAATAAAGTTTGATCATACTCACAGTTTAAGAATGTTGTTATTTTTTAAGAATTTTATTCATTTTTGTTGATATTCTTTTAGAATATGCATAATTATATTAAAATGTATAAGGCTTTTACTCTGTAAGAATATGTATGAATTTGTATTTAAGTTCGGATGTATAAGAATATATTAGAATGTTGTTATTTTTCAACATCGGATTCAAGAATTTTTTTATTCTTCAATAATATTCTAATAGAATAAAATTCTGAAAGAACATCATTCTAACAAAAAAAATATTCTGACCGAATAAAATTGGTTATGTTTACAAATTACGTTAGAATTAAAATTGAATTAATTAAAAAAATTCAAAATTTTAAAATTTGGAGAATTAATTATCCCTAAAAATCTGAAAATTTCCTTTTCTAAATGTAGTTGATTGTCCACAATACCCTTTTGCTAAAATTTGTGTGATTATATGGTGCATGCAATCACCCTGTAATATCATATACTCTCAAATCATGTCCACTGATTAATTCCATCCGTTGGTCCAGATCTGTGCATTCTGGCACACAATAGTTAGTAAAAACAAAATAACCTAAGCCTATATATATATATATATATATATATATATATATATATATGTGTGTGTGTGTGTGTGTGTGTGAGTGTGTTTATAACCGAGAATAAGTAAGGAGGAAGAGAAAAGAATTGTTTGGGCCATTTTTGAATATATTCGAAATTTATAGGGTCTAATATGGAAATTTTCAGCCCATTGGGCCTATATAAGGGTTTACGGCCCAAAAATGTTAAAGGAATTTGTTTACGACCCAATAAAGCCCTAGAAACCAAGTGAAACATTTTAGGCCCAATATGGCCCAAAATGCTATGGTTTGATAAATGTAGGTCCAGTTAGAGCCCAAATGGAGTTCCTTGGCCCAAAATAGCTAAATTGAGAGTTTAATGGCCCATTAGGCCCAATAAGAGGATCCAAATCCATTATGAGTTTAAATCGGGATATTAGGGTTACGAACCCACAGTTAAGTGTGTGAAATGAATTGAATTAGGTTTTGGACTTCACGAATGAGTTTTGGTTCAAATAGTTGTTTTTGGAATAAGAATTAGTACATAACATCAACGTAGATTACAAGTTACACAAGAGTTGAGTATATGAAGACATAATTTCCTAGCAAAAAGTGCTAGTTGTGACAGTGCTTTACCCACTTGTATTGTGTAATGTGTTGTCTTTCCTATAAATATGAAGTGAGTGACACTCATTGATGAAATGAACACTTTGAGAGCATTAGTTTAGAGAGAGAAATTGCAATACCCATTTGTACTCTTTCTATCAATACTAATGAGAACTAAACCCAGATTTATTTACGTGATGTGTTCTTGAGTTTGTATGATAATTCACTAGATCTTTTCTTATTCCGCACATGTCATCATAATCAACACCACTACAATTAGTATCATAGCGGGTCTGTGAAGATCAACATGATTTTTTGAAGAAACGGTTCTCGATTTGGCAACAATCATCACACTTGGAACATTTATGGTGAGTCTCTCGATGATCTCTCTAAATCTCGTTGATTCGTGCGTTACATTCTTGAATTTTTGATCGTTTTGTCTCGGTTGGATCGAATTTGTTTCAAGCCCAATTGTAGATCCAATCTATTTTCTTACATTGATCAAGCCCAAACCAAATTCAAAATCATTTTATAAATCATTTTTCTTGAAAACAAATTTTGAGTCTAATATCCTTAATCTTTTATTGATCACGAGATTAATTGAGCCCAAAAACAATTTCTAAATATGTTTACTGTTCATGTCCAATTCATTGAGCCCGAATATCGAATGTTTACTGTTCATCAACTTTGAGTTCATATCTATTTTCGTGATCCAAATTCAATGTTGAGCCCAAGAGGTGATTAATTTCATTCGGTTTCTAAGATTCACTGATTGAGTCGATTTTATCATTCGCACAAAAGAGTTGTACGTTCTTGACTCTTGTTGTGTTTTTGTTTCCAATGTTCCAATTTCATCAGTTTTATCAATCTGGTTGATCGATTGTTGTTTGTTTTGATTGATAAAATAGCCTTCTGAATCGATTTTGTATTATGCGTTCGATCTTCAAATCGATTTTATTCAAATCTTACTCTAGAAATCGATAGTTGATTTTTGATTATAATGAAATTGGTCAAGAACACTTGAAATCGATGAAGAACAGGATGTTTTGGGTTTGATCTGAAATTGTTCTGAACATTATTGATTTTGTGTTTGTCGATTTTGGTATGAGAACGTTAATATCGAATTGGATTGGGATGGATGTCTGATGTTTGACGTAATTTTTGATTCTGATTCACCACAAAAGTCAAACTCAAAAAGTCAACATTCGTGTTCTTGGATGTTGAATGATCGATGCTTGGGTTGATTGATTTCGAAGTTAGTTACTGGAAGATTTAGCTATGTTCAATGTCTAGGATCAACAAATTTGATGATTGACTTTCGAAAGTCAAAGAATGGTTGAGAACGAACAACGATTGTAAGCAATTGTTTTGATTTCGTTCTTGCTTGAGGCTAATATGGAAGGACTGAAGGTTTGGGAAATGCCTGGGAAATTGAAAATCGTTATTTCGATTGTTGATTTAGAGTCGATTGTGAGTTTTTGGAGCTTAATAGATAACGAAGCTTTGGAATCGAAATTTTGTTGTCGATTTGATGCAAAAGCGAAGGTTGTTTGAGGATCGCTGTCTAGTTTTGATTTTGATTTCAAAATAATTACTGAAAAATGAAGGCTGTGTTGGAGTCGTTGATGTCGATTTTGGTCGATGTTGGTGTTAAACAGCCAAGGGTAGGAATTTGTTGTTGATGACGATGATTTTGGAACTGGGACGTATAATCAAAATTTTGATGTCGATATGCAAAGTCATTTGAGTTAATTTCGAAAGTTTGGATTTGGGTTGAAAACTGGAAGTGAATGGCTTTGATATCGATAGTTGTGGAATCGTGAATTGGATGGTTGCTTTACTGTCGAAGATTTTTGATTGACAAACGAAGGTTTTGGGTCAGTGTAATGAAAAGTGAAGGACCATCTGAATGATTAAGATGTTACTGTTCACGATTAAGCGTTCGATATGCTTCGGATTCGCAAGTGGTATGTGTTATCGATAGTCGATTTTTTTTTTTGGAAAAGCGAAGGTTTTGTGTAAATCTTTCGAAGGTTTTGGTGTTGACATTGGCGACCGGTAACAAATTGGGGAGGAAACATAAGTTTCGAAATTGGTCCTTAAAGTTTCAAAACTTTGACAGTTTATACACATTTCGAAATTTGGACTAATTTTCGAAGGTTTGAAAGAAAAGAGACAAAATTTTTGAAAGTAGTCCCTGATGTTTCGAAATTTTGGCAGTTTATACCCAACTTCGAAAATGGGGTTATAATGCTGAGAAATTGAAGCATTCACATTTCAAGCCCCTGCAGTTAATGCGAATTGACGCTTTCTACCCAGTTTCGCAAATGGGGGAGAGTTTCGCATTTTTGGTTGTTCTTGTCAAAGACGGTCCATGAACGAAGCTAAAAATTGAAGATTTTTTGGATTTTCCGGATTGAAGCAAAATGTTTATGCCATGTGTTAAGGGGGAGTTTTGGATAGAAAAATTCCGAATTGAGCGCTTTCTCATTCCCTTTTTGGTTTTATAATCATTTTTTGATTATAAAAAGGGGGAGAGATTTAGATATGGAAATTCGAAAGTTGAATTTTTCATATTACGCGGACTTGAAGACCGAAGTGACCTCAAGTATTTGAAGTTTATGAGATGATTCGATTGGAAATTCGGAAGTGATTTCGGTTCATGATGGGTTTGGACTTATTGAAGATTTTTGGGATGTGCTTTTATGCTCAACTTTAGGATGATTATTTGGAGATTGAGAAACTCCTAATTATCCGTTGATGGTCGGTTCGTATGGTCTCATATTCTAGAACCCAAATTGAAGAATCGTGGAAGAATTGAAGATTTGATGTTCATCTCTACATGTGTCACGCTTGAGGCTTGGTTCGCGTAGTTGCTTGATTTTGGAAGATTTGAAGCGGGTCATCCGTTCCTAACTTTGAGGGGGAGAATGTTGGGTACAAAGTTATCCATGTATGACTTTGTAAATGGTTTGAATTTTGTAGACCCACTTGCATATGGTAAATTAGCCTTGTGCCATGAGAGATAGATAGAGAGAGAGAGAGAGAGAGAGAGAGAGAGAGAGAGAGATTCTGGGATAATTGGGTAATTTAACCGTAACCTAATGTGTATTCGAAGAAAATAACCAAAAAAAATGTTTTTAGCAAAATAACCACAAAATCCGATATGGGGGATTCTGGGATAAGAAAAAAAAATCATTTTTCTGACAAAAAAATACATTTCAGACTGGCATTCTGGTTTCCAGACCGACATTCTAAATTTCGGACTGAAATTTTGGACTTCGAGAAAAGAAATAAAACTTTGGAATTTCAAGAACAAGTCCGAAATTCGATGAAAAGTTCCGCAATTTCAA